CCGTTAATGTTGATGCGAATGGCGGTGTTGAAGAACAATGTGCAAATACTTTCGACCATGCAGGATCGAAAGCCATAATGATCACGAACGCGTGTGAGATATCGACGAGACACATGATCATATGCTTTTTCGAAATCAAGTTGGAGCGAAATTGCTTCTGAGTTGCTGTGACGAGTATGTTCCATCATTAAGCGAACAAGGAGACCGTTGTCGGCAATAAATCGGCCAGGAAGAAAGCCGGTTTGGTACGTATTTATGAGAGGTTGAGCTGCCACGATGATGCGTGAGTTTAGTAAACGGGTAAATATTTTGGCGTCGCAATTGATGAGGCTGATCAGACGCCAGTTACGAAGCGATGTCAAGTCCCCTTTCTTAGGCAGGAGACAGACACAAGTCTCTTGCCAGGAAGGAGGGTACAGAGAAGCCTGGCATGATTCGTTGTATACGGTGCACACCAGTTCTGCATACAGAGGATGCTTGAAAAGCAAATACCAAAAGGAGTATGCGATGCCATCTGGACCGGGACTACTCTGCTTGGGTGCGCGTTTAGCTGCCTGCTGTAGATCTTCAATATTGAAATCAGTCGAAAGGGATGTCGCTGCTGCCTCAGATAGTTGACAAGTCGATGAAATGTTTTGTAATAGGGTAGTGACTGCATCGTCGGGACCTCTTCAGCGGAGTACAGCGTTTGATAGAAGGATGATGCAGCGTCTTGTATACCAGACGTGTCAGTTTAAATAATACCAGTGTCGGGATGTGCAAGCTGATGGATATATCGTGAATGTTGACGTTGTTGTAGGGTATGCTTAAGGTACCCTGCCGACGTTTCCCCTTTTTCACACCAGCACGCCCCTGCTTGGATGGCCGCCATATCAGTGATCTGCTTTTGTAATGCTGATATTTGCGTCTCCATAGATAGCAGAATTGGGCGCGAAGTGCTGGTAAGGGCTGGTTGCGCAGAGATCGGTTTCGTTTCCTCTGAAGTGCGCGTAGTTGTTTTTCGCGCCATGAGCCGCGTTTGCAACTGTAGGCGCGGATGTGCTCTGTCATTTTGCTTTTGATCTGCTCCCACTGTTCTTGTGGAGAGGGATAGTGGTGGAGCGTAGAGTATCAATCCATATCAATTAAATATACTGTAAACAGTAATTAATTGTAAAGGATGATACAGTCAAGCTCCGAAATCTTCGATTTCTCTGGGCGTCGACCTGAAGGTCTAGCCTGTTAATTAATAATATTTATATTAAACTTATTTAGATTTATAAAATTAAAAAAAAGTCTAAAAAATCAAGATTTTTTTATTTTTTTATTTTTTATAATTCACCGTTAATATTAATTAATTAAATGTTAAATAAAATTACATTTTATTTTAACTTTAATAATTAATGATTAACTCCCATAGGATGAAGGTCGGTGAGCATCTTGGCAAGAGACTGGCGAAATCTTGATGGTATGTGATGGTCGGATTTGCATGCCATACAGTGATGGCCAACAGTGCGTGGTCAGTCCATGCTTTTTGAGATACTGAATCTCTGATTGGTGAATAGTGCCGCGAAACGTGTTTGATGCAAAGATGTAGTCCAAGATTGAAATCAGTGTATCTCCCCACCAGAAGATGGGGATATCAAGATCAGGATTGACATCGACAATGCAGTCAGTGAATTGTTCGTTGAGGAAAGAATGCCAAGAGATGGGGGCATTTGAGAGATAATACAGTTGACACATGTTGTAATTAAAATCGCCCGCAATGAAAAGTCGATCAGTGATGGTGGGGTCAGCTAATCGCAGTGCTGGTTCTTGAATGAGTTGTGTGAAGAAAGCGTGACGAGCTGTTTCACTGGAGGCATGAGGATCCTCGTTTGCCGTTCCTTTGAAAGGGCCCACGATCAAACGCCTGTTTGTTGCCGATATTTGATCTGCATTTTGACGGGCCACTGGTACATTGATACTTGCCAATACTGGTGCTGCTGTTGGGCCGACAATTTCTGGTTGTTCCTCATCTGTGCATGCCATTGCTCGATTAAACCACCAACGTCTATTTGTGTTGTGCATGTCTGCAGTGCTTGATGCCTGATTTGCTGCAGCAGCTGATGACCGTATAGGAGCAGCCGCTTGGCTTTCCCTTGTTGATTGCAGATCATCTCGCATATCTCAAATGGCTGACACCAGTTGTTGCAGCATCTCAGGGGGGGTTGCGCTGGTTGGTTGCTCCCTTGTTTGCTGGACTTCTCAAATAGTTTCAAGTAACTGCTGAATTAATTGATTGCGAGCTTCCTTATGATGGTCTAAATTGGTGAGAACGCTTTGCAAATCCGATGTTTTTGCTGCTTCAATGGACAGTAAGCCTTGAGAGTGTCGAAGCGACTCATACATTGTGTGCAAGTAGGGGTCGCAATTGGATGGGTCGGGTCGGGTCAAGGGTCTGACCCGTTGACCCACGGGTCAAGAAAACACTGACCCAACCCGACCCGTTCAACGCGACGGGTCAATACTGATTTTGATTCGGTGACAAAGGAGGTGTCAATTAACCTGAGCTTGAGCACTGGAAGTGCAAAACTATATGTATACACAGCTCTCTAAGATGATGGCACGCAAATTCCTAGCAGTGCTAGCAACATCTACGTTTTGTGTGATTATTCTTAAAGGTAAATGGGTTTGTGCCATCACAAAAGAAATCGTTTGCGCTCACATGCATTAAAGAAAGCATAATGGTTAAAGTGTGGTTAAAAATCGACTTCCTTATATGCCCCTAATCCTTTTCCCTTTTCCATTTTCTTTTCACTTCTTCCTTCTTCCTTCGTTTTTCTTTTCTCAATTCCTTTTCTGTCTTTTGTCAAATCTCGTCTCTTACTGCCACTCTCTATTGTCTATTCTCATTGTACTATTGCTACTTCTTTACTCCTATTACATATATTGCTTATAGCTTACTTATCTTACACTCTTGAATAAAAAATATGATCCCACAATGAAAAAGAATATAGGTACGTTTTATGTTACAGTTCTATAGCAGACATTGACAACTACATCTTTGATATAATGATGCTTCCCAACAAAAAGATTGACTACTTGAATACAAGTACCTCATACATATCATATGTATACACGGGTCACAACGGGTCAACGGGTCGGGTCAAGGGTTAGACGGGTTGACCCGTGGGTCAGAAAAGCATCAACCCGACCCGTTGACCCGTCCTCAACCCGTGGGTCGGTTTTGACCCGTGGGTCAGATTGCGACCCCTATGTGCAAGTTATGGTGTACTTGCGAAATGTCTTCTACATGCTGCTGTTCGAGATTGCGGCGTTGCTCGTCCCATTCTTGTTGTTTATTTTGAGCCTACTGCTCAAAGGTTGCTGCTCGTTGTTGTTTCAGCTGTTGCTCGTGTTGAGCCTGCTGTCTGTCGAGTTGTTGCTGAATATGAATGGTGTACTAGTGTTGCTGCTGGTGACAGGATCCTTGTGCTTGCTGAAGTTGCTCATATTGTTGCTGCTCGTACTGTTGCTGCTCGTATTGTTGCTGTTGTAACTGTTGCTGCTCATACTGCTGCTGTTGATAATGGTGGGTGAGTTGGTCTAGTGTTGGTTCACTGGTCGGTGGCCAGCCGCCATATTCAGTTTGCTGTGCCTGTTGAGCTAAGTGTTGCTCCTGCTGCCATTGCTGCTGCTGATTCGAGTCGGGATGGGCTTCTGCTGCCCAAGGATTGTTGAAAGCCAACTGACTGTTTTGGTAGGGATCCATTTGCTGAGATTTTGCTTCTCCACCAATATAATAGTTACTAGAAAGACCAACTGCTCAATATTATTTTGCTAAAGTATACTTGATATATAATATAATTTGGGGGTGGGATATGAGGGGAGTATGACTACTACAACACCATCACACAAAATGCTGTTTTTGGTAATCCTGTATCCTAGTGACTGCTTAGTAGGGATCCGTGTCAGAACCGTAGAACCGGGGACCGAACTGAACCGAAATTGAGAAAATACGGTTTTGCCTTTTTAGGCGTTGTATACGGAGTATGAAAAAACGCCTTTAGGAATTGGTTTGTCTGTCTGGCTGTCTGGCTGTCTGTAGCATCATGCCTATTTTTAAAAATTCATTTTTGGGTTGCCATGACAACAAATTATTTTTTATAGCGAAATTATATTGTTTAAAAAATAAAACACAACAAAAAATGCCACAAGCAAAAGTTTGGAGTATATAACGCCTACAAAGTGTTTCACAAAAAACACTTCCCTACTTTTTATATACATAACAGGTTCGGTTCTTCGGTTCGATTCTTCGGTTCTTCAGTCCGTGCGGATCCGAATTTCGGCCAGTAGCTTTATATAAAATCTAGGCGACTTGGTTGGATTTCAGTATGCGAGGACGTGTGGCAGGAAAAACCAACGCGAAGCGCGGATCCACATAGGATGCGGATGCTAACAGGGGAAAGCAGTGATATTCTGTGTCGCCAATCCACTGTAGATGACCTTGACCACCTTTTGGTACTTTACACTGTTTGTCTAGAGTGGTCTCTTCTTTGCTGATCCAAGTCCGCAACATCTTCACAAACTCATCCGATCCCTTGCCTTACCCAACACCACACCGACGCATATCAAGCCATATTAATCCTACGAGCTCACTGAGTAGCATGCACCTTGCAAACAATCTGCGCTGCATATTGGCAAGTCATATTTCACGATCAATCTTTTGTCACCAAGCTGTTATTGCGCGGGCGTTGACACTCTTAGAACGCTTTCGCCCTCGCGCATCTGTTTGATCCATCTTCTTTTCTTACTTTTCCAAATTCAATTAGCTAGGTAAAAAGAAAACCAGAACCCTATCGCCATTCCCCTCTTCCTGTAATTATCTACTCTTGCAAGTTTCTCGCACTCGTCATATCTATCTTATATAGCACATAGCTCGCTCTAACATTTGTGCATATCCAAAAGATAGCCACTTCCCTTAAATCCTTATAAGTATTACATCTCCTCAGTATACAATAAAGCACCTTTTATGATCCCGCACTGTTACACACGCAAGCGGCCCTCTGCATCAATCTGCGACCATAAAAAACGCGCAGCACTCCAACTTGGTGACATTCAACTTCATCTCCTAAGCGTACATCACCATGACAACCGTGCCTGAGTATGCCGAAGGTTTGTATTTTAGTGGTAGCCATATAACATAAATACTGAATAGATAATTCTGTCGATAGTTTTCATTAAGTACTTCAGCGAAGAGCTAAGTACTCCTTCGTTGAAGAAATTTCATTTGGCCAATCCGGAGTACATTGCTGCAAAAAGCAAAAGCTTCACTAATGTCGCTAGAACTTGGAGAGCCAGGTTTAAAAAAGCAGCCGAGGATCATGGTGTAAAGGTAAGACGAGAATGTGGGCTTTTGGAGCTGTTTTTTATACAAATGCCTAACCTGGTTATAATTTATAGGAATACAGCATTGAAGAACCTGATTGGAACCACATCCTGGAAAGAATTATGGAAAGAATCTTGAAAGTAGGTATTTTTTTATGTATATATAAAAGCTAAAAAACAAAACGCGGTTTTCTTTGCTGACTCTAGTGGAACTTGTCGTACATATTGAATAGGAAAAGTACGACAACCAAGCACCCGAAATCAAGGCGCGTGCAACTACTGTCTCCTCCTCGTCAACTCCCTCCTCAAATGGCAATGTTAGTTGCAGAAGGATTTATTTATGATAGCCATTTATTCATGTTAAGTGTTACTAACTCCAAATTGTATTTCTTCTAGTCGCTGCTCACAGAAAGTCAGAAGCAAGCATTTGAAGAGAAATACCGGTCAATGGACCCGAAAAGAATGTGGGAAGTAGAAGAGGGAGTTTTCGTGGAGAAGAAGATGTACGAGTATGGATTGACAGTACCGTACGAACAGTAAGTGTATATTTTGTGTCTCTCGTGGATTCTTGGAATAAATATAAGACAATAATAAAAGGAACCGGTTGATATACTTATTTAAAATCGACAATGTTAGTGCGGTTCACTCATTCATATTAAACATTTCCGATCCCTGTTGGAGCAAAGTCTTTAACCCATCTCAATTAACCAAGATCCATAACGACTACGTGAAAGAGTTGCCACCTGTACAACAAGAAATGAAGACTTTTCATAAAAACTTCAAGAACATGGTACGTTGTTTATAATTGTATTGAACAACAAAAGAAAACAAGTAACAAGAGCATTGATTTGATCGATATATAGACTGATGTGGAACAACTTTGGAACATTGCTGAAGAGCATCGATTTCATCCAATCGCCAAATTTGATCTCGACTGGTCTCGACGTTCGATCCTCGATATCCTTTCCTCTTATCGTTGGGGCAGCGTTCAGCGTGCAGCAGTGTCAGGCGGCGAACGTGACCTCATCATGTTGATTTGGCGTGCTGTGGATATGTGTTCACAGAACCTTAAAGTGGATTCATTAAGGTAAATCTCAAGTTTAATTTTAATTGGTATAGTAGGGTTCTCGGGACTGAAAGTGTTTAATAATTATTAGAAGCGACCAACAATCTGCCGCTGGTTCGGCAAGATGCAATGAAGGACGTGTAGGAGCAGATGGCTCCATCAAAGGCAAAGCTCAAGCATGTAAACCAGACATGATCCTGAAAAAAGACCAATTGGAGTACGGTGCCAGTGAGCATGGTTACGCGGACGAAGCAGGAGTAGGAGCGAAAGAAATAGAGGAAAAATTCTTGAAGTTACCGAAGACACTGAAAGACATGGCTTTGCGACTTGCTTCGGCTGTCAATAATGATGAAGAGAAGATTCGGCTGATTCGAGTTGTGGGTATGGTCAACACGCGTAAGTAGCTTTCCTTTGAGCGTGTCAATTATATGGCAGGGTTTACTGTTTTGCTAATGTTTGCTCATTTTTTATCAGATCTCCGGATGAACGCCATGATACTTGACATGCCTGATGGTTATGTGTGTAGAATTCGACCTTTACAAGAGAAACGCATTGCTGCTACATTAGAAGAACCGTTTTCCAAGACATATATACCATTTCTTGAACAAGTTATCAGGATAAAGGTGAAATGACAAAGCTTTTATAGTAGCTGGTGATATCGAATACTAATCTATAAAATATAATTAGGGAGTTGTCAAGGAAACATTGGATGTGGTGTTTGGTGTGAACGGTGAAAGTGATGGCGAAGACGATGACGATGGAACTGGATACGTGCCGAGTACACCAACCATCAAGACGCTAATTATACCCTCTGCGATGAATACACCCGTTGGTGCTACATCCAAAAAGAGAAAAACGAGTGTATCATAGTTGTCATGTTGTAATACGTCTACTTGCCTTTCCATTTGTTTAAAAAAAGTCTTTTCTTTTCTTCTTTATATAAATACCATACCTCCTTCATCATTGTAACTTCTTTGTCTTCATTATCATAAATAACTGTCATCGCCTTTACATACCATACTTTTTATATAAGTACCTGTATCTCCATCATTGTAACAAACATAGTAAATATAAACTAGGCTTTTGATACGGACACCCCCTTCTATTTTCAATCCTCGTCGGGTTACACACATCCTAAAAATATATACTTGTGGAGGTGTCCGCAAGAATGTGTTCACTGGATGTGTTCACTTGTTATTTATTATATATCTTTCGATATATAAACAAAAGAGAACTATAAACCTATGTCGGACACGTTTAAGCAGGGAAAAGTGAAATGACAGTGACCAAACAATGACCAAAACTTTATTTGGTCAATGACCAGATTTTTCCCAAAAAGGAACAGTGGTGGGGGGAGCATTTGCAAGAATGGGGGAAGGCGATTTTTTTTTTTTAAGATTAACCAGCGCACTGGTCAATTTATTGGCGGCCTCCGAAACGATATTTGTTTGGTAGGCTGTGTAGACATGATGACAAGACAGATAGGCAGAGTAGACAAATAATTATTGACAAACAGATAGACTATTTTAAAAGACTTGAGGACATTTGCTAGGCTAAAAACGGACTTGGACGGACTAGAACTGGCGACCTGTTGGCAGTGGCTCTCTTGAGGCTGGCGCTCTCCCCGAAACGCCAGGGGCACGTGGCCCTGGGGAAGGCCATGACCAGAAGACTAGAGGGAAGGACCAGCGGTGACTGAAAGGGAAGGCAAAGACCAGAGGCGATGACCAGAGGCGATGACCAGCGGTGACAAAAAGGAGGAGGCGATGACCAGGGGCGATGACCAAAAATTTCAAAAAAGGGGATTAGCAAGAAGTGTCGATGACAAGCTCAGACAAGAAAACGAACGATGGCAAGGCAAAGGCAGAAGGTACGTGGGAAAACGACAAGGCAAGACCGCGTTTGGTAGAGCCGAAGGTGCAGCGCTCCACAAAGAATTTTTTTTTCACAAAAGGTCTCTTCTGCATCTCTTTCACTCTTTCACTTTTTATTACTTTTACTACTGACTGCTCGCCGCCATTCCAACACTCGACCTGCTCAAATACCAACGCGCACACGCTCCGTTGAATTCAGCTTTGCCGCATCTCACATTTTTATAATCACCACTCGAACAAAACTCGTCCTATCTTCATCACTCAAATAGCACCCTCATCTTGTACGCTTTCTCTAATCTCAACACTCGAATATTACGCAGCTCGCTTACAATGCCATTGAACGCGCCTCGGATATAACACATCTCTGACAACGACCTCGTGTCATTTGCTTGGCGGCAATGGAGCCATCCTAGGACCAAATTCTCTATTTCCGTGTTGCTACTATCGACTCTTGTTTGGCCCTCATCAGGTACTTGAACATTTTCTACAAAATTCAGCACTGGAATGCCTATTGTACTTTGCATACACGTTACTAAAGAGCACATATTTCTTGTCTCAGCGTATTCTTGGTTCCTGCTGTGGATGGACTCGGTCACTTTTATTTCTTTGTTTTTCTTCCTAGTAGCAGTTGCCGCAGCATTGTCGATTAACGAGATCAGAAACGTACTTCAGCAACAGCTGCACTCTAGCAACAAACTTTACAACAAACGGACACTACATCTTCGCCATTAAAACTAGTGGGAAAGCCAATTGCCAGTTGAATGACTTGTCAGCATCTCAGCATGACAGCAACACAAGCACAGCAAAACCTGCAGCAGTCTGCACAGTAACGGCCGGCTTTCTTCTTTACGTTATACGAGAACGCAAACAACGCAATGGCAACGTCGAGTCTATGTCATAAGTATTTCTACAAGGAGCAACAGTCATGGCGGTAGGTGTTTACTTTTTTATTTGGCAAACTGGCAAAGAAAAAAAGCAATAAGCAGCCATTCCCATCTGTGCAGTACCTCACCATCCAGTACTCCAAACAACGTTCTGTTCACAGTAGCAGGATAAGGACGAGCAGGCGAACGTGACGCTGGTGGTTTGGTGTCTCTACCATATCATGTCAACGAGCAACAGCCAGAAACGGTACGCGTGCATTTTATAGTGGAATTCTTGAAGTTACCGAAGACACTGAAAGACATGGCTTTGCGACTTGCTTCGGCTGTCAATAATGATGAAGAGAAGATTCGGCTGATTCGAGTTGTGGGTATGGTCAACACGCGTAAGTAGCTTTCCTTTGAGCGTGTCAATTATATGGCAGGGTTTACTGTTTTGCTAATGTTTGCTCATTTTTTATCAGATCTCCGGATGAACGCCATGATACTTGACATGCCTGATGGTTATGTGTGTAGAATTCGACCTTTACAAGAGAAACGCATTGCTGCTACATTAGAAGAACCGTTTTCCAAGACATATATACCATTTCTTGAACAAGTTATATATAGTTTGCACGTCCATTTTATTAATGAAATCGTATTATTTAATACGGACGTATTAATACGATCGTATTTTTATCTGTGTAATACGGACGTATTATCCTTTCAAAAAAATACGTCTATATTGTTCATTACTAGTGCACTATCTCAAGTTGAATACATGGTATCCATTCTCAATACATATCATATTTAAGACAACGACATATAAAAAACAAGAGGTAATAGAAATATGACGTAGTAAAACACGGCGTGATAGAAATACCACATAGTAAAAGACGACGTAGTAAAAGACGACGGAGCAAAACACGGCGTGGTAGAAATATGACGTGGTAAAAGACGACGTAGTAAAACACGGCGTGGTAGAAATACGACGTAGTAAAAGACGACGTAGTAAAAGACGATGTGGTAGAAATACGATGTAGTAAAACACGGCGTGGTAGAAATACGACGTAGTAAAATACGACGTAATAGAAATGCGCCGTAGTTGAAGACGATGTAGTAGAACACTGCGTGGTAGAAATACGGCATAGTCAAAGATGGTGTAGTAAGACACGATGTAATAAATAATGGCATGTTGCGACCACAAAGCAATATATAATGTAGCAAAAGTATGATGTAGCACAAATACAGCCTACTTCAAATGCAATATTATCAAAACATATCTTCTCACATCACACTGCTATGATAAGCGAATTCAATGCAATAATAGTTTTATCTCTAGCTGTACACTATGTAGATAAACGACGCATAAGCACAATTTATAGTGTACTATGTATGATCGATGATTTCTATAAGAGGGTTATACACCTTGTGCCAATAATATCAATATTATGCTGTCGTGAATGTAATGTATATATAACAGCATTTCTCCAGCGGATTTATCGCTAATCGTGCTCAATAGAACGACAGCATGTACATAACGATATAGAAGTATACTGTAACATATTATATAAGTATACACTTTGAATTTGAAACAGTCAATGTGGTTAGTCCTTATTCACAGCTTATCCGTGCTCCTTGATCTAATTGACGACGTACACCACCGTTCATGATATTAAGTTTGAAAGCCATACACTGCATTCGTAATTGCTGCTATTGAAATACTGCGACTTAAGGGACAGACGTTTTTACCCATTTCATTGTGTCAATGTATACAGCATGCCAAGTGTAAGATCCCAATCGACCATTGCAGAATAACTAACTACAAACATAATTGTGATTGCAGGAATTGTAAAAGCGGTCAAAGTC